AGCAATTGGCAGCATTTTTGTGTGTGTGGCAGATTTTGACCAGTTTGAGTGGTAGCCTGCTCAGAACCTTAATGCAAGACCAGAGAGAGGAAGAGATGAATTAACTCTCATGCTAACATGCTCCGGGCAGCTTGAAATTATGGGAGCACTCGATGGCTGCTCTTAAATACAAACCCTGCTTTGTGCTTTGCCTGGCAAGTTTCTGGGACAGGGGTTGCCTTCCTCTTTCATGTCCCTACACCATCCAACCTCCCCACCCAACCAGGCAAGACAAGTAAATGGACAAATGCTACTTCCACTAAAAAAACCCTGGTCCCCAGGTGCTGCACACCTCTCAGGAAGAACATAACTCTTTTCTCACTGAGAACGTAAGAAGAAACAGGCAAGTCTCGTACAGCCTCGGCCTCGCAACGGTGCAGTCCACGGCCACAATGCCGTTGCGGAGCGTTTGCCTCATCTGTTATGCAAGCTGGAGTTCAGCTCTGAGGATGCTATTCCAAGAAGAAAGCCGGCTGCCGGCTTCAGAAAATGTATATACTTTGTAAGTGCACAATTTCTGAAATTTATACAAGCAAAGATGAAGGGGCTTTGACTGTAATTCATGAAACATTCCTGAAAAATAATGATGTCTTATTTTAGAAGTCCACAAAATTCCATAACACTGACCTAATGGAGGAATCATAATAGAGGTTTATTGGACTTATATTTTAAGCCAACAGTGCAGGCTTTAAATTGCTGTCTTGAATAGACATTGTTTTTAATAGAAATATTACATAAATTAACTTTGAGGCCTCTGCTGCCTCTCTTTTTTTGAAAAAAAATTTTGTCTTTCATCGCTTCTCCTGTTTTATTATTTAAAAAGCTACATTCTAACCATCATGGCTTTATTATGACATTCCACAGGTACTGAGTTACAAAGAAAGCACTTAAACTAATCTGACGACTTACCCACGGTATCTTCTGCAGCCCCAAGACAAAGAATTTGGTTAGATATTTTTGCTGATTTCTACTGATGTTACAAAAAATTAAAAAAGGAAAGAAAAAAAATGAGGCAAGGGAAGCAGCTGGAATGTTAATAGCAAAGGATATTAATCCATTTGCCTGCAAATGGAAAAGCCAGTGAAAGCAATGGCTCTGCTACATGAGCAACTGGATTCAGGGATTTCATTTAGGAGTCAGGCGAGAGCCAAAAGCACTTCCAGTGTTTCATCTTGGAAGTGGTATAGCTCCTCAGCGCAGGGCGCCGGGTCCTGTGCCCTGGGGGCCGCCGGACTCGGCCTTTCAGACGTTTTCCCGTTCAGCATTGGGATAAAGTTCAGACCTCTCATGCTCCAGGGGCATGCGTGCTGAGGACCCTTCACCCACAGTGGCCCAGGCAACGGGTCGGTCCCTGCCTCTTGCCTGCAGGTAACCAAACGTGACCATGTCACTAAAGCCTCCCCAGTGGCTCTGAGGACATCCTGGGAAGGGGAGCAGCAGGAAAGTCCTTTCCAGCCTTCTCTTTCCTAAGGACGTCCCTGAAGACAGGATTCTCCTACAGCCAAAGGGACAGATTTTTCTAAAAATAAACTCAGATTCAAGCAATGGCTTTAAAACTAGAATTTCACCAACATGCTGCATCTTCCCTCTTTAAAACGCTTCTGGGATTATGGCTTGGACACATATCTTACCCCCTCTGGGTGCTATGCAAGATTTAAGCTGTGGCTAATCTCTGTGAAGGCATTTCACTGAGGGGTACTTCCTGGGCTATCCACATTACTGAGCTGCTGAGGGTACCGAAACGCTGCACTCCCTTCGCCTCCAAATGCAGACCTGTGTCATACTAGTGCTTATCGGGATGTTTCTAATCTCATTTCTTTCCAATCAGGGTGCAAATGCATCAGAAATAACCTCGTTTTCTGTCAGGGAGGCTGATGCAGAGCCCTGGCTTTCCTGCGACTGGAAGCCAGGCCCACCAGATGCATTCCCAGATGGAAACATTGGGAGTTTGGAGTTGTTCGACACAACCCAGTTTTCACAAAATATGTTGAAAAGGTCATTGCAATCTGGGACGAAAGGAGCTATAAAACCTGAGAACCTGCCATATTGGCTCCTGGTCAAATTCAGTCATTATCCTCATCTCGCAGATGAGGAAACTGAGGCACAGACAGGTTAATGTCCAGAAAGCAAAGCCCAGAGCAGAGCCAGCACGAGACAGCTGAAGTCTTAATACTGATGCTTGCTCTCCTATGGATGACACACTCTTCCCTGTTTGAATATAGATAATTACAACACTAATAAATATTGCCTCCAAAGAACCTAAGCCACCACCTCTGTCTCAGATGTACCCAGCTGAACATCTGGGAGGCAGATTTCCTGCTGTAACACAGTTCTGCTGCCGGGATGAGCAGATCCCTGTAGAAACAGCCTAGACATTTTAAGCTGCTTGTTCCCACTCCCTTGTGGGATACGAACACCCCTGCATCGCAGCTGCAGTGGCGCTCACCCATCACCCACCACCAAAGCAAGGTGTAGGCTGTTGCCATGCAGGGAACGTACATGGGGGCACTGTGCCAACCTCTCTGCTGCAAATTCAGCCCAGGACCAGGCACGTGAGTGAGGAAGAGCAGTTGCAGACATGCTTGGGAGGAAGGAAAATCTGACTTTCCTTCAAGTTCTGCCCTAGACACCAGGACAGAGAGGTCAAAAACTGACTTGGAGCCTTGTACCTGCCAGACGTGGGAAGCAGGGGGAAGCCTTTTTTGCATTAACAAACTCCCTTGTCCTTGAATTCCAACATCTTCCCCAAGAGTGACCTGGTTGGTCAGCCTTGGGTCAACCTGGTTCTTCACCCTGCTTCTTCCAACCCGAGAAAAGAGTCCTTCTGCCACCTCGCAGATCATCCATGGAGACCTGCAGCAGCTCCAAGCAGCACTGTGCCCTGCAGAAAGCAACGCTGGAGGAAGAAGGAGAGAAACTGCATGCATCCACACGAGGAGCTTGCAGGATCCCTTGCCTTATCCTTCAGTTAACCCTCAAGGCATGTGCTGTCGGAGTTTCATAGAGAAATTATCAATTTCTTGATGTGTCACCTTTTTCTTTTCACTCTCTGTGAGTTTTGCTTAAATGTGGCCCAAACCATTTTCAAGGTCTTTTTTCTATCCTATCCTAATCCAAAAAATGGAAACGTTTGTGGCCAGGTGAGGCCAGGACCTGTTTTCCTCCAACAGAATCAGCCTGACCAGAGGCTCCATGTTTTTTTAAAAAAAAAAGCAAGACTGTCACATGCACGCAGCCACGGCACCTCCTTGTCACCACTCTTCCTCAGTGCTCCAGCTTTTATTTCGAGACACCTTTGCCAGCAGACCCGGCCTGCGGAGAGCCAGCTCACCATACAAATGGGTCTGGAACGGCTTCCAGCCAGTGACTGCGGTTGTGTCAGCGGCCGTCACCCGAGCACGTACAAAAAAAAGGAAAAAAAAGACCGCAGGAACGCTCCAGGGGCAGGAGCGAGACTGTGCTTGGTTGCAGAGGGGGTTATTGGCTATCGTTTTCAGCCGGAGATATCCAACACCACCAGCTCTTCCAACTAGCAGTAACAGGATAAGCCGTAAAATATGTGCTCTGATTTGGAACTAGCAAACACAGCAAATAACCAATTATTCCAAATAGTTTACAGATTTTGACTTATTTTTTGGCGTGCGTTAGCTTTGCTAAGTTGTCATTTGATGGGTTATTTGTATTTCTTACAATCGAGGCATCGTGAGCCAAAATAGTGGTAAGAACCGGTTAGAAAGCACCTTATGGTGCTTCGCATGGGAGAACGGGGGATTCTCACTGCTTTTTCACAGCTCCATGGTGCCCGAGGCTCCCCATAAGGATGACACCTCTCCCGCTCGGAGACAGTCATGGCTTTCTTGGCTCCAGCTACCGCTGCAGCCTTCAAAGACCCTTGGTGGCAAACAGGCATTTTGCACTGCAGTGAGTAGCACCTGAGGCGTGTGAAGAGCTGGCATTAAAAACGGGCCAAAACTGTAGCTATTTCCCCTGAATAGCTGAATTGCAAAGGCAATGCCTCCAGGAACAGGAGCCCCTGGGTAACCCAGCCTGCGACAGCCCAGGGTGCACAGTGGGGAGCCGGCTGGGGCTCATGGTCCCCCCAGCCCTTTGTACAGTAATAATATATTATTTATTATTATTATTATTATTATTATTATTATTACTGAGAGTGTGAATATTTGCAAAGAAATGTTTTGGGGGTCCGTTAGCACTGACAAGCACAGTAATATCGCTCAAATGGAAGCACCTGAACATTGCAAATGGGCAACTGAGGCCCAAGACAACTTAAAGGATTTGACCGAAGTCGTGCAAAAAGCCAGTGGCAGAAATTTGCTGAATGACTCTCAGGGTTTCACCCACCAAGATATTGCCTCCAAACAAGGCCACGTTTCAGGCTTGAAGAAAGATCTGAACCTCTGCTTTCATGAAAAATGCAATTTATCCTCCCCACATATACTGTGCTTATTCTTTGCTTGCACAATCAACTGTCCAGTAATTCACAGCTACACTTGTTGACATTTTGAAGCAGTTCTTCCAAAAATAAATAGCATTTCTGCATTTGCCCCTTATCCTTAACAAGAATCACTAATACTCCTGTTTATTATTATTACTATTATCC